TCTCCTCCCTACCTCCCCACCTACACTCACCTTTACTGGCTCCATCCCCGCCTCTTTGACTGGTCTGTCTCCTCTCCACCTATCTTCTCCTCTATTCATCTTCTATCCGCCTCCCCCTCTCTCCCTATTTATTTTAGAACTCCCTTCCCCTCCCCCATTTCTGAAGAAGGGTCTAGGCCCGAAACGTCAGCCTTCCTGCTCCTCTGATGCTGCTTGACCTGCTGTGTTCATCCAGCTCTACACCTTGTTATCTCACCCCCTTTGCCTTTTGTTTTATGATCTCAAATTTTCCTTGTTCTCCACTTCCTCCTGATTTTCCTTTCTGTTCCACATTCTCCTCTCCACCTTTCTCTACAGCAATAAACCTATCACTTTCCAGCCTTTCTCTTCAGTTATTAAAAAGAGCCACAATACACACAAAACTCTGAACTCCAATACCTAGGACTGTGTTCCCCGCTCTGCCAATGGATCTCACCTTCCTGACCCACAGACCGCAATCAGTAAGGATAGGCGACAACACCTCCTCCACAATAATCCTCAACACTGATGCCCCGCAAGACCACATACTCAGCCCCTTACTTTATTCCTTATGCACTCATCACTGTGTGGCCAAATTCAGCTCTAATCCCATTTACAAATTTGCTGATGACACCACCGTAGTGGGTCGGATCTTAAACAATAGCGAGACAGAGTACAGGAAAGAGATAGAGAACTTAGTGACATGATGTAAAGACAACTATCTCTCCCTCAATGTCAGCAAAACAAAGGAGCTGGTCATTGACTTCAGGAAGCAGAGTGGAGGACATGCCCCTGTCTGTATCAATGGTGCTGAGGTGGAGGTCATCGAGAGCTTTAAGTCCCTAGGAGTAAATATCACCAACAATCTGTCTTTGTCCATCAATATCAACGCTACAGTCAAGAAAGCAGACCAATGCCTCTACTTCCTCAAACAGCTCAGGAAATTAGCATGTCCACGATGACTCCTACCAATTTTTATAAATGCACCAAAGAAAGCATCCTATCCAGATGCATCACAGCATGGTATGGTAACTGCTCTGCCCAACACTGTAAGAAAGTAAAGAAATTGTGAATACAGCCCAGTCCATCACAAAAACCAGCCTTCCTTCCATTGACTCCATCTCCACTTCCTGCTGTCTCGGGAAAGCAGCCAACACAATCAAAGACCTCCCCACCCCGGTTATTCTCTCTCCAGTGGCATGACGTGTTCAGTCAGCTGCTCAGGGTGGTGTAATCAGGATCTTCTCTTCATAAGGGGTGAGGAGCCAAATGTCAGGCAGCTCATCCACTTCTTGACCTTTTTTCTGCCATATTGTGGGCAGCTCCTGGAATGAGAGAAAACCAATTTATAAAGGAGATGGAGTAAGGCAGCTTTTACTTTGGGTGCATGTTGGGAGGTGTCCTGAGTGCATGAATAGGCAGCACAACAGGCGTGCAGGATTAGTGGTGTCAGGATTGAGGTAGGTGACAGTGAGTAAAGGAAGATGTTGCAGGCAATAGTAGCACTAATACAGCATGAGCTTTGGTGGGAAGTATCTCCAGTAGCAAAGAAAGAGTTAGTGTTAGTCTTCGGAGAGACTATGGTGGCACTTGTGTTGACGGTGAAGAAGGTAACCTTCTGTATATCATTGCATTCATTCACGTGATTGAGACTGCAGTGAACTGGGTGACAATATCATAAGTAGGTTAGCATGGTCTGATGTTACGGCCTTCACTGAGGGTCCTGGGGGAAGAAGACGTCCTATGTCAGCACCACTCCATCCGGCAGGACCTCCAAAGTGGGGCACCAATTTCCCCTCCTTTCCATGTCCAGGACAAATGCCAGGAAACACGAAGGGTGGCAAGGAATAGACAGTGCCTCTCTGGGTGTACAATGGCCTTTTAAAGATGGTGCTGACATCAGAGATGCTGGTCCATTCTAGGATATTTTGGTGTTGGCAAGTTGTTTTAGGAACAGTGAATGATAAGACGGGGCTGGATTTGGGCATGAGAGGCACCATAGCAGCAGGTATGTAGTTAATGAGATGTGTTTGGTAAGATACGGTGAGAGATCTCGCGAGGCCTCGCAGTAAGGGATCCTCCCTGATACTTAATGAAACTTACACTTAGCCAAAAATATGTAAGATTTAGCCTGATATGTTTCTGGATTATCTGGCCAAGGTTTAAGCTGACCGTCAGTTTCAGTAGGATTGTGTGAGACTGTATCTCAACTACTAAAGTAATGGATCCGATGGTAGTGTCATTGGCCATCAGTCTGTTTGAGAGGAAATAACTCACATTCTTCTAACCAAGATATTCTGCCCTCTGTGGGGAGGCAACACCTCAAATGTGAAGGAGGTAGGAGAAGTAGGCACCTCCTCATAGCAAGTATAATGTACAACAGTGTGTTGAGCCACTTAATTAATGTGTACACTCTGAGCTAAAACAGTGAACAGCTTGCTCTCCCTCAAGAGTTCCTATTGCTACTGGCTTCATCTCACCCCATCATTCAGGGCAGTGATTACAACTGCAACATCAATATGACCAGAAGATCTGGCAGGGCTGACAACAAATTAGACAACATGTCTAGACTCCTGATTGAAAAGATAAATCTGCCAAGCTGCATGATGTCTCTGGCAGTCCTGCAAATGGAGCGACAGATATGCCTGTTTGTGTAATGTGCGTTCACAGTCAGATCCACCAACATAAGCTCGTGTTCTTCTCTGATCACTGCCTCCTGCTAGCTGAATGTCATGTACAGGAAGACCAGAGAGTTGGCAAGTATCAATGAAACTGAATGTGAATTTGCTGGCCCCAGATATAATGGAAGAAGTCAGAAGGAATTTCAAAGGTTGGAGAACTGTGAACCCCCTCTGTGATGAAAAGAGAGGAACTGTGCTCACTCCAGAAAATCATGCAAAATCTCCCTTAGTTGCAGTTGAAAGGGATCAAGGAGAAGCTCCAACAGATGAGGAATCAACAAGCCTTGCTCTTTGACATGAATGACCTTCCAGCCCAGAGCCCTTCTATCAGAATGAGGAAATGTGCATGTGCCCACATTTCTTCTTCTAAAATGTACAAGACAGCACTTTGTGATCAGGAGCCTGAAGGAAGGGGATGGCTCGGGAAAGTCATTGGAATCTGATGCTGAGGATCAACAAATCATTTTATGCCAAATTATAGACAGGGCAGCCTTCACATCACTTATTCCCTATCATGGAGGTCTTAAATGATAGTATGCTGGAGAATCTAGACCAACCACTAATTCTGGATGAGCTGACTATGGCCCTTGAGTCCTTTGAAAAGAGAAAACCTCCTGGCAGTGACAGCTATTATTTGAGTTGTATTCAACTCTGTGGGACTGGATCAGTCTACCTGCTCAGGTGCATGAAAGTATGCTTCTGGCTGGAACATGTCAGAATCCATGAGAAAAGGAATCATCACCTACATCTACAAGTGGAAAGGGGGGAAATTAGAAATTGGCACCCCGTCTCACTGTGGAATTCAAAATTCTGTCCAAGGTCACTGCCTATCGGGTCAATCCTGCTCCAGATGCATCCAGACTAGACCTGTGTTGTAATCAACAGGAGATCTCACCTCTCCAGGATGCAATACCTATCTTTGGGATGGAGAGATGGATATCTGCCTTGTCAGCCTTGACTAGCAGATGGTTTTTCATAGAATATTGCATACCTACATGATGGGGTGCTCTCCAAACTGGGGTTTGGGGAGTGAATCCACAATTGGATCAAATTCTTGATTAAATCTAGAGTCAGGCAGGCATCTTCTCTCCCCTCTTCCGTGCATTTTGCATTGAACCTTTTTCCAAGTTCATCAGGAACCAGCTGGGCATGAGAGGAGTAGCAATGTCAGACAGTGGAGACATTTTAGTCAAATTCTCCTTGTAAATGGATGATGTCAGTGTTATCTGCTTGGATCTATTGTCATTAAGTAAAATGATGAGTATCTACGACTGGTTCAGATGGGCCTTGGGAGCCAAGGTAAATCAAGTCGTGCATGAAACTATGTTTTTTGGAAACTGAGCCAACCGAATCTTTGTCCCAGAGATAGTAGGAACTGCAGATGCTGGAGAATCTGAGATAACAAGGTGTAGAGCTGGATGAACACAGCAGGCTAAACAGCATCATAGGAGCAGGAAGGCTGACGTTTCGGGCCTAGACCCTTCATCAGATTTCTGATGAAGGGTCTAGGCCCGAAAC